TGTGTGAGAATAAGATGGAATAATATTTTTAATAAAATCCACTTCTAAAGAACAGCATTCTAAAGAAGAAGGAATGGTTCTGAAAATCAATGATGATTTAACTTATATAATTAGTTAAACTTATTTCTAAATTCAAGGAATGATTCCTCATGCCATTTTGGTTGCTTAAAACAGCGGAAATGTTTTGATGATGGGAATATAATATACTTCGACTGCTATTTTTAATCTATTTGCTACTTAGTTTGATGAGTTTAGCATGTTTAGAGTAAATGTTTACAATGCTAATATGTTAGCACCCTTCAACCCCATTATTAGTTAGATGAGTGATAAATTCTATTTTTTAGTCGGATGCATAGAAAGTTTAGATCCTAGCACTGCTCTAATGGGAATGTTTATATTTGATTAGTAAAATTATAAAGCCAATATACTATCTAGAAATGTCATAGAATCATATATTCAAAGAAAATTTGAATGTCTTGGAGTAAAAATATTCGAAGAAACCGATATAAGCCTCGTCTATTTAGCTACAAATAGTGTTACTTCTAGTATTTTTATTACGAACTTAAAACAAGATCCTTTTATTTATCCAGCTACCTTCAGTGTGTCTGAATAGTGGCGCTAAATTAAAAGTGAGTAAATTAAAGTTTACTAATTTAAATATGTTTCCACGAAAAATGACTTCTTTTATCTTGGCTATTTGAATGAATAACCTGGATAGTAAAGAGCCTTTTTATCTTAGTTTAAAGGTACAAATACTTACTACAACATTTATAATGATTTTGACCCAAGAAGTTATGGTGAATTTCTTTATTCATCTGAATTTAGTTCAACACCAACCATCGAATGGGGCAATTTTTCATCTAATAATGAGAGTTTAACAACAACTATAATTCAATTTTATCAAGATCTTTTACCTTATGTTGTACTGTGGAAAAATTAGACAATTAAAACAAACAGTTAGATCAATGTCTCAAAACTATCTGTATAATAAGTCAGAATACCCAAAAACTTACCTAAATATATTGATTGCTATTTAGGCAAACGGTGTGAAATATATTATGCTAAATTTAGTATTGCAAACTAATGTAGTGATGAAATAACACTTAATAAGAGTTATACCACTGAAATCACTATCAATAGTACCTTTTAATTCTCCAAGTTCAATTTCTCTGAATAGAGCACTATTGTTGCAAATTTTACAGCCAAATTTTTGAAACTCTTAAATATTGGTCTACACGAGGTGAGGGTTGCCTATTCAATAGCAGATGCATTAAATCTAGTAAATAAATGGAATCTTATGTAAGATTTCTTCATTTTGAATATAACAAATACCTGTGCTACTGAATTCAATCTGATAAAAGATATTAAGAATATATCGATTCGACATGAAATCTCGAGTGATATAATCTACTATTCAATACCAAAATTAATGTTAGGACCTGATCAGGGTTGCTTCAAATAAACTCTGAGAATTCTAAGAAACATCACACTATAAGATTAAAATCTTATGCTATTTTGGGATAAATTGCAAGAGTTTTAAGTCGGGATTCTAGCAAATTCTCCTAAAGAAATAGGTGAATATGAATTCCTATTTGATGTAATGGTAAAAGCTGACATTTAACAATTTTAATCTAGATTGTACTAGCCATACTCCTTTAAATTTGAAGTTTACAATGATGTTGGTTAATTTTCAATAAGCAATAGTGCGCCATACTTTTTATCATCAGTGTTAGATATTGAAGCTAATGTAGGAGTAATGCAAATAATAGATCTTCCAAATATCTGAGATGATGAAGGAGATGACTATAATATTTTTATTCAAGACGCCAAAGCCAGAATGTTTATATCTATTTCTAGAAAAAAACTTATCATTAATCCAATTTAACCTGTGATAGGAAATCATCAAATAATCATTATTTTGAAAGATACTAACAAAATAAGCTATTAAAGCAAATACTATTTTCAAATCTTAGTCAAGGCTGATGTCTCTTCTTACTATGAGTCTTTGTTAAAAGGTACTAATTTATAGGATGACTATAAAAAATCGTTGTCATTTCAGATTATTGGGGATATAGAAGGCAGGATAAGTAAGATTACTAATACAGGATAGGTTATAATTCTATTTGGTTAAAATCTATAAGATAAAATTAAAGATTTTAAAACTAAAATTTAGCAAGCAATCTAAGCAATACTAAGTCAAGATGATTAGGAAATGAATCTAGAGTTTCAGGTATAGGAAATAAGTCAAAGAAAATTGATAATTCAATTAAACTTTACTTAGCCAGAGAATATATCAAAGTACTCAGTAATCATAAATATAAGTGATAATTTTCTAGGAATGGGATAGATTGATTGTAACTTTTAAAATGAATTTCTTGTTTTATGATGTGACTGAAAAACTCATGATGTAGAAGGGATATTAGATTAAGGGATATATACCACCTTAAATTAGTCAGAGTTTAAAAGAGCTGATAAATGGATTTGGGTCTTCTACTTCAATCTCTTTATCAGGTATTATGGGTTCAAATTTTATCATCAATATTTTAATGTAAGTAGGTGCAGCTTAATTTTTATAGGTCTCAAAGTATACAGATGTTATGGGGAATGGTAAATAGTTTCTAATTGATTACGCATTTGCCTTTAATATCTGTGAATAGCCCGGTAAATGTAGCACTATTCTATAGTTTTATTCTAGATGTGTCTAGTTTCTAATTCTTTGATGTTGAAAAATTAAATTCATTTTTATTTGATTATGATTCAGATAGTTTAGAAGATTCTTCTTATAATCCATATTATGAAAGAATGGGTTACACTTCAACAAATTTAATTAGAAATCTTGGACTTATATTTTATTTCTACTGCTTGCTGATGATCATAATGCTTTTGATATATGTATTATTATTTGTGAAAATACCATTTAAGAGGTAAGAAATTAGTTAGCATATAATCTTTAATTAGAAAAAACTAAAGATATAGTTTGCTTTTAGTTAAGATTCATAATTAAATCTATTTCAATTCGATTTCCAGATTTATGTTGGAATCTATAATAGAGCTCTTTATTTGTTCAAGTATTAATAATTACCAGGTAATCAATAGAGTTATATAATACTTTATTAGAGATTCTCAACTTTTATCGATGTAACTGCATTTATCCTGTCAATGAAATTTCTTGGTATAAGCATACTTTTACCTTTCTTTTCTTTCCTATTGGCAAATGTTGCTTATAAATAAAATCAAAAGGTCCTAAAATTGAAATTTCACCCATTCATTGAAAACATACGAAAAGAAAGTTTTGTCTTTACCTCAATATACATTGCAAGAAGACTGATTTACTCATTAACTCTTGTTAGTTTTGGAGACAACTAAGGACTATAGCTAATAATTCTGATGATTCAAAATATGTTGATGATTATATACATTACAATATCCAAGCCATATTTGAGTCTTCAATCTAATTATCTAGAGATTTTCAATGAAATCCTTTTCTAGGTTATTTTGTACAGTTTGATAATATTCTCAGACAATTACTATTTAGACTTTCAAGTCAAACTAATTATTGGATATTTTCCTATAGCTATCTCTATTCTTTTCCTTTCAGTCAACATTTACGTAATTGCTATTTCTAAAATTATTGGGAAATTGAAACATTTATTGTAGAATAATAGTAAATAAGTTCTACATACGCAGTAGATGAAGTAAGCGTAACTTAAAACTAGACATTTGAATTATATAAAAAATAGGTCAAATTAAAGGAGCTAGAAAAAATCGAAAAAACTTAATGCAAATATTTAATCACCTAGAAATCAAGCAATTGAAAGTGATTCTAATATGAATGCAACGGTTGATATTGGTCCTAAGGGGTTTTTGATTAATTTAATTAATAATGAGAATAATAAAGGCAGGAAGTCCTAAAGAAAATTCAAGAGTCAATCTAAGATTACAAATAACTCTCTTAGATAACCGAAAATAAATGAAAAG